AGTGTCTTGCCCAAGGACACAACGACAGCAAACATGAGTGGGATAAGTTGGAATAGGTCTCAATTGAACCCACAACCTTCAGGCTCAAAGGTTAACTCAGCCACTGTCGCCCCAGTAAAATATTCACTATATATTTATGTTTTAGAGTGTAAATATTATACCCATATATTATAAGTTGTAGGACGAGAAGAACACAAATACAAAAGATGAATACGAGAGGCGATTGAAATGAGGAAGCGGGGCGCCAGGACCATCAAAGGCGATGAGGGGGCTTTCATCTTGGCTCACACTTGAGACTCACTTCTCCAGAGAACAGCAGCAGTGTCCTGGTATGGTCAGTCTGACGGATCTGCCTGATCTGTCAGACTCTGCATCCGGTAAAAACGGCTGATAAGAGACACTACACACCAGGCGGAAGTCTACATGAAACAAGTAATACTAACTTCTTTACACTTTTGTCTTATTCAAACAACCTTCTAAGCCCTAAACCTGTAATACTTTGGGAAGATTGGTAGTGGACTGAGACTGATCAGACCTGCTTTGTTACATCAGCCTGGTCTAACCAACATTATTATTGTATTTGTCTATCATTCTACTTCCTCCACATGCTGTAATTAGGCGGATTAGCCGAGGGGTTTGCTAACAAGTGTTTGGAGCAGACTGACGGGCTTCAGCATTAGCCCTCTGGCTGTGTGTGAGAGCCTCCTCCGCCTGTCAACCTGTCATGTTTCCCACAGATACCAGCACTCCGTCATACATGTGGACACGGTATGGCCCCGCAGGACTGAAGCATGCTGCTATGATCTGTAAGATTGATTATAATAACAATGGGAACGATCAGTTTGAAATGACAGCTGACAATCTTACATTTACAGAGCTTTGCCAGGACAACATGTGTTTATGGAACTGCACCGTAATGAGCAAGCCTCCAAGCTTTGCCTTAAGAATGCTATGCCTTTAAAGCTGGGGTACTTAACTTTAAAACAATAAAAACATGTTTTATTTACAGAAAGATCTCTCAAAATTGTTTGTCACTATTTCAAATATCTATTTATTTTTATCTTTAGATCAGACACATGAAAAAGAGGACTGCGTTTACTCAGCCAATCAGCACTCAGCCCAAAGTGTCAAACAGTGACTCAGAACTTATTCTTAGAAGTATGCAAAAGATAAAATGTTTTATTATGAAACTAATAATTATTACATTCATTATCTGAGGGTAAAATACTGCAGTGAGGTACCCCAGGTTAAAGCAGTTGAAATAACACGATGAGATACAAGGGCAGGGACTTTATTTCTTCTTGTAATGAATACATTTTGAGTGTACCCAGCCAAGATGGCACCCTATGCAAGCTCAATTCTGTGTCATGAGGAGAGGCGAATGAAGGACTCAAAATGCAGGAAATGCCAAAATAAAAATAATTTACTGATGAAAAAACAAAAGGGTAGATGAAAACAAATTCAACAATCCAAAACCACAAGGAACCAGGAACGGAACGGAACATAACGGACAAGGACATGAACATTAACAAGACAATGGACCAGCAACAAGACGAGAGGAGCACATGGTACACAAAGACACAGACACAGGTGGAACACATCAGGGCGGGGCACACAATCAACACAGGGGAACAAGACAGGAAGCAAAACTAAAACCAAACTGATGTCAAAATAAAACCAGAATACACAAATAAAATCCACACCTTGACATTCTGAGTCCATTGGTGGGACAGCTCTGAGCTAGTAATGCCCTACTCAGTTCTCATTAAAGATCCCAGCAGACAAGTTCAAAGAAAATGGATTTATAAAGTTGGGAGATAATTGATAGTATTAGATAGCAATATGGCCTACGTGCAGGACTCTACAAGGACTCTGATTATTCTGACTATGATGTGACTGTCTCTTTGTGACACGTACGTCTTTCCATGTGTGACGTGACAATGACTATATAAACCTTGTACTGCCTTTATTCTGTCTGAGAGAAAGAAACAGAGTAAACCAGTGGAACTTGAGAGAAACTTAAATAAACTTCCAGAGTTTGGCGCACCACGATCCGTCTCTGTCTGCTTCATTCCTGACATAATGAATGATAAATGATAAATGAAAACTGCATCCATTGTTTTGGTACAGTTGGATACCCATGATGCAATCTGATATCATTGCTCTGTACATAAAGTTTGTGTCTGCCCATTTACACAAAACTACCATTTTTAATATTCAGTATGTGAAATGTTTAAGTCCTTTGGGAGCTGCTTGCAAAGGGCTGGTGGAGCCCATGGCGGCACGGTGGCTGAGTGGATAGCACTCTCGCCTCTCAGCAAGAAGGTCCTGGGTTCGAATCCCGGTCGGACCAGGGCCTTTCTGAGTGGAGTTTGCATGTTCTCCCCGTGTCTGCGTAGGTTTCCTCCGGGTACTCCGGTTTCCCCTACCACTAAAAATATGTCCAATAGGCATGTCTGGGATGCGCCTCCTGTACTGGTCCCTCCCATCTCTGTGTGGAGTGAGAGACAATTGCCCAAAAATTAACAATTGTAAACCGCTTTGAGACTCAGATCTGCAGTGAAAAGGCGGTATATAAATAAAGATTACTACTACTACAGCTAGAAGAGTCCATCAAAGACAGACTAATCTTGGAGGAGTGATTCTGTTCCACATCAGTTGGCACAAACATTATAAAAACAAGTGAGGCTGGAGTTCTCAGGAGTATTCATTACACTGTTTGCTTCTGCTTTTCCAATAACAAACTGGATTAAACCAACCTCACAATTCACAATGTGTTTAACTGTTTCATGTCTTAACCAAAGCATACAGTGTTAATGCAATGGGAGAAGAAAAACCATCTAGTTTATCCCCGCCGTGTCTGCAGTGAAAGAACAACGACATGTAAAGTGTCTTTGAGTGTCCCAAAAAAGCGCTTTATAAAACCGATGCATTTTGTTTGTTTTATATTATACACCACATCTATATGGAAAAGGTCGTCTTCATGTGAGGGCACGTTGCCAGTACAAATATGGGAAAGTTTTCAACATATCTTTGAAAAGTTGTTTTCCAATAAATGTTGAAAAAGAAAATGTCCAAATGTTTTACCAGAGATTAGTTTAAGTTTAGTTTAAGTTTATTAAGGAAAGCCCCTTGAGATGAATCATCTCATTTTCGAGGGGGTCCTAAACATAAATACAAACATATCAACAAACACACATACACAAAAAGCAATTTACAGCGAATTAAAGATGAGAAAAGTTAATTAAACACACACAAAGACAAACAAAACAAACAACAACAAAATATAACAAAACAAATGCTCCATCGCACCCCACTCCTCCCCTCTGCTGAAATTAAAAATATAGGAAAGAAGAAAAAAAAAAAAAAAAAACAAAGTAAAACTATTAACAATAATGACACAGAACATTAGTGACATAAACAAGGAGTTTCAAGAAACCTAAATAATTCAAACTTAAATAAACCAACAGACAGAATGGATCTTATGGATGTGGGGAGTTTATTCCAGTCTGATGGAACCTTATATTGAAATGATCTGCGTCCAACTTCTTTAAAAACTCTTGGAACAGAAAAGGTGAGACAATCAGAGCTTCGGAGTGAAAAAGGTGTAGAGAAGGGGACAAAAAACTGTTTTAAATACTGCGGACAACTAAAATGAATACATTTAAATAATAAGTGCATCCAGTGAAGGTGACGTCTGTTGTGAGGCTGAAGCCAGTGAAGGTGACGTCTGTTGTGAGGTTGAAGCCAGTGAAGGTTCTCGTACAGAGTGCAGTGATGTGTGTGATATGGACATTTGAGAATGAATCTACAAAGACAGTTAAAAAGTGTATTGAGTGGTTTGAGACGGGTGTGAAATGTGTTTTGATAAATGACGTCAGCGTAATCGATGATGGGGAGAACCAGTTGTGTAATGATGCGTTTTCTGACATTGAGGGTAAAGCAGTGGGATGATCGGAATAATGGGCCCATTGTGGCGTAAGTTCTTTTGATGATGGAGTTGATGTGGTGTTTGAAGTTAAGTTCGGGGTCTAGCCAGAAGCCGAGATATTTGATTGTGTCTGCATTGAGCATTTTGGAACCGTTGTTAAAGTGAATATGGAGATCTGGGGAGTGGAGTAATTTGTGATGAGAGCCAAACAGTATACAGCAAGATTTTTTCATGTTTAAAATTAATTTATTGTTTGAAAGATTAGATTTACAAAGCCATCATAACATTGTTTGAAAGTCTTTTTAGTGGCCAACATCATGCATACGTTTTCTCTATCACATTATTAGAAAATAATAAGATTGTGATGTGGATTGGTCCAGGAACTACAGAGACATTAGCTTTAAACTTAGACTAGACCGTTGGACACTGTTGAATTGAATGTTGAACTTTGGAATGTTGTGATGTCACATGAACACAAACTATAGACATATATAAAGACATAATATACCTCGACCTTTTGTGTCTTGATACCTCTTGCACTTCTTTAAAAGACCCATGATCGAGGGGCTCGCCATAATTACAGATCAAGAGTTGAATGTGCCTTTATTTAGAAGTACTTTAAAGTGTGTGTACGTGTGTGTGTGTGTGTGTGCGTGTGTGTGTGCGTGTGTGTTATGAGCAGAAGGGGTTGGAGCAATAAGCACCGACTTTGTCCATCCCTTTTCTCGTCCTTTGTGTTTCTGTACATTTTACATCCTGTTAGTTTTATTTATGTATGAAATGTGAAAATGTTTGAAAAAAAATACATACTGCTAAACAAACAACTCAAGGCAGAGGTTCCAGTGTGAAGGAGCTCTTGACGAGATGGGCGTCTCTCTCCGTCTGCAGCTTTTGTGTTTCTGCTCACTGCACCATTTATTTCATTATTGACCCTTCTTTTCTCTTTTCTCTTCACTTGTGGCCGATGCTTTTGGCCGTTCAGTCTGCTCCAGTGTTTTCCTGCTGTTTATCCACTTGGTGACAGCTCTCCTCCCTCGTATAGATCCGCTGTCTGTGATGTCAGTGCTGAATGGTGAAGGGTGAAGGCTGTCTGCGCATAGGTCTGGGCCTCGCTGCTAATCATCTGCTCTTCACTGGCATGGAGCAGGAGTGAACAGAGTGTTGTCAAACTTGTATCTGCGCTTGCATTCTCCCAGTTTGTATGAAGGGCACGCCGGAGCCCGAGGCGCTGTACTTGCAGCAGTGCGTTTGCTGACACTTTTTGTTTGCAGATTTAATGACGCTATAATCAATTACACGCAGCAGGATTTGGTCCCATTAGAGCAGACACAGTGCCAGGAGTTCACTTTGTGTTTTGCTGCAAATCAGCTCAGAGAGTACAGAATTAATGACACGAGACATATTGTGTTGTGCTTTTTAGATACATAATTAAATGAGAAATTATTCTAACCATGTTACAACAGCGCCCTCATCCCAAACAGACCATAACTTGAGAGCTTGCTCCATTCACAGTAGTATCTGCCTCAAACCTGTTACATCATGGTCAGAGCTGCTTTCTGCTCCTTACAGGTGACATACAGTATGTTGCTAAGTCAAGGTGCTTTTTTGGATCCATCCTTACTGCTCCGCCTACGCCCCATTCACACCATGCTTCTAGCCACCACCAGTGCTTGACCCCGGGGGGTCTGAGATCATCTTCAGCAGCAGACGATCTCCCCTCTGCAAGTGTCACTGCCGGGGTCAACGCACCAAACAAATACATCTTTTTAATTTATTAATATGTCTGTCTTTGGTCTCTTCAGATTGAACTGACCCAAACATGTAACTTCTGTTCCCGTCTCAGTCCTAGTAGTATGATGTCGCTGTACCACTATGACATAATACATTTGAAACAAAAGTATTGCCCATAAATTTCTCAGGTGAAATTATGTTTTTTACAATCACGTATGTTTTGTATATCAAATATATTATTTTGCCAGATTCTAAAACATGAAATTATAATGCATAATATTTCTTCTTTAAAGAACTTCTCACACCCCGGCGCTAGCTAGTAGAGCTAGCGGCTCGGCTCGCAAGCTAGCGAGCTCTACCCATGGATCTAATCTAATAACTGCAGAGGCAGCGGAGGCAGCGGAGGCAGCGGAGGCAGCGGAGGCAGCGGAGGCAGCAGACCGCCACAGAATGGGGCCTGTTTCTGAATGATATAGATTAGAGTGGAATATAAAGTAGGAACTGCTTGTCACAGGTCTGCAAGCACGGAAACCCCGAAGGCATTTTGGATAGAAATGATACACCAATGTGCACAAAAGAGACAGTTATTTAACACATGCTCAAACAAAGTATTTATTGTACACAAGTACAATGAACAATATACAATGAAATTTCACAATATAGTACACTAACTAATCTAACAATAAAAGCAACTAACTAATGACTAAAACTACAATATTCAACAACAACGCCACTACACAATTATCTATAATACAAACAGCTATGCAAATAAAAATCTACCTAAATGCTATAGCTAATCTGACAATCAATGAAAATACTATTCCTTCTCCAACTCGCTACGGGGGCGTGATCGAGACAGGGCCGGTCATAGACCCCAGGGCAGCAGGGCAACTGACGTCAGGTATCACTGCAGACGTCAGCCTTCACTGCAGACGTCAGGTATCACTGCAGACGTCAGGTATCACTGCAGACGTCAGGTATCACTGCAGACGTCAGGTATCACTGCAGACGTCAGGTATCACTGCAGACGTCAGGTATCACTGCAGACGTCAGGTATCACTGCAGACGTCAGGTATCACTGCAGACGTCAGGTATCACTGCAGACGTCAGCCTTCACTGCAGACGTCAGGTATCACTGCAGACGTCAGCCTTCACTGCAGACGTCAGCCTTCACTGCAGACGTCAGCCTTCACTGCAGACGTCAGCCTTCACTGCAGACGTCAGCCTTCACTGCAGACGTCAGCCATTACTGCAGACGTCAGGTATCACTGCAGACGTCAGCCTTCACTGCAGACGTCAGCCTTCACTGCAGACGTCAGCCTTCACTGCAGACGTCAGCCTTCACTGCAGACGTCAGGTATCACTGCAGACGTCAGGTATCACTGCAGACGTCAGGTATCACTGCAGACGTCAGGTATCACTGCAGACGTCAGCCTTCACTGCAGACGTCAGGTATCACTGCAGACGTCAGCCTTCGCTGCAGACGTCAGCCTTCACTGCAGACGTCAGCCATCACTGCAGACGTCAGGTATCACTGCAGACGTCAGGTATCACTGCAGACGTCAGGTATCACTGCAGACGTCAGCCTTCGCTGCAGACGTCAGCCTTCACTGCAGACGTCAGCCATCACTGCAGACGTCAGGTATCACTGCAGACGTCAGCCTTCGCTGCAGACGTCAGCCTTCGCTGCAGACGTCAGCCTTCGCTGCAGACGTCAGCCTTCGCTGCAGACGTCAGGTATCACTGCAGACGTCAGCCTTCGCTGCAGACGTCAGCCTTCGCTGCAGACGCCAGCCTTCACTGCAGACGCCAGCCTTCACTGCAGACGTCAGCCATCACTGCAGACGTCAGGTATCGCTGCAGACGTCAGCCTTCGCTGCAGACGTCAGGTATCGCTGCAGACGTCAGGTATCGCTGCAGACGTCAGCCTTGACTGCAGACGTCAGCCTTCGCTGCAGACGTCAGCCTTCGCTGCAGACGTCAGCCTTCGCTGCAGACGTCAGCCTTCACTGCTGCACCAGCCTTGGCGCCAGATTCAAAATTCAAATGCTTTAATACAGGTCGCCTGCAGATGGCGCCTCACAGACAGTTTTAGGCAGAAAGTTGATCTTTCTATTGGACACTCATTTATACTGTTGATCAGCAACAGTATATATCCTTACTGTTTAAAACAAAAGTATCTAAAATAAGTTGTCTGGTGAAATTATGTTCTTGAAAACCACAAGGTGCAACTTGGTTTCAACGCCTCAGTTGTAGACTTCACACACTCGGATGTAGGTCAACCCAAAGCTGTCTAGACTTGAATCTAGTCACATTCATTAATAAGCTAATTAAACATACAATTTCTTAACATACTATATGACGAGTACTTGCTCTCAAATCTTTAGTATTTTTATCCTTTTTGTCCTTTGAGTACCACCCTCACTCAGATTTCAATATATAAAAAGATCAGATGTTTTCTAACAAATCGAAGACAGTAAAAAAAATTATTTGTGTTCTGATTATATAGAATTTTTCATTGTGTTTTCTGTTGTCCTTGACCGTTTTCTGTTGTTCTGATTAACAAAAATGAAATTCAACACCTCTTGTGGTAGAAGTGGGGAACTACGACACTGAGAGCTACTACATTCCATTTGTAAATGTTTTTATCCATATATTTTCTGTTTAAGACAAAAGTAAATGGTCTCTTTTTCATGTTTAAAGGCCATAGAGAATGCATTACATTTGAGAATTTGTGACAGACATGAAATGAGTTCCAGAGATTTCACTACAAACATTTCTATTATAATGCACTCGGCTTCCTACGACTTTCTTATGTCAGTCATCAGCACAAAAACCATCTCACTCTGCTTCGTCGGCTCATTGTTTTGCATTAAGTTGGACATCTTCCCGTTTTCCATTCCCCCATTCAACTCTCAAAGAAAACACAACTCTCAAATGTGAAAAGCAGTTTGTTCAATTTGTATTTCCACATGAATTATGCAACGAGACACAGTCGATGAGCACATTGAGAATCTGTAATTTATTTGCTTGTCCTTGAACAATAGTAGTTTGTGTCGGCCAAAGAATCCAAAGTGGTTTTCGGGACAAAGCTTCAGAACATCATTTGTCCCTGTGTAATAAATGGGACGTACATATATTTAGAGGTTACAGTCATCTACCTACAGAGCAGGATTTACATTTAGTTTCTACTTATTTTTGTATTGCCTTATATCACAACAGCAGATGTCTCAAAGTAATTAACATTGACAATTGTCAATTCGCCAGAAACAGATCAAAGAACAATTTAAATTAGGGCTGTCATATGTTTAAAATGTTTTAGTGGATTAATCGCACAGAAATGGTGAGTTAACTCACGATTAATCGCATTTTTAACATTCTATTTCAAATCCACTCCAATTGAAGTTAAATGAGATTATCAAATATAATCATACATTGTCATTCAGACCAAATGTTCTTAAATCTGTTTGATTTGCTCACAAACTTTTACTTTTGGGCACAACCAAAATAAGCTGTTAATGAAAGGGGAAAATGTACATACCCCAGCTTTAATTTTGCCAGTTTAGTTTAGTTTAGTTTCAGGAGGAGACACGGACACTTCCGTGGTGTAGGTTACGCACAGGTTGCAAAGAAACACACACAACATGCAGAGAATAGTTCTGCGCGTGTATGGTCTTATATGACCACATTACCGCGGCGCCGTTCACCGTGTTGTTGTGAGCGGCTAACCAGAACGGCCGCAGCTGCCCCGGGTGTGTGCCCCGGGAGAAGGACTTCAGTTCACAGCAAACAGCCCTGCGGTCAGGCGTGTATTCTTTTAAAACTTGAATTCCCAGAGACCTGCTCTGATGCATCTCACACACGCATGAGTCCGCGGCATTCTGTTTTATTATACAGTAAATGGGCGTGTCATTCGGACATGCGTTAATTTTCTTTTAATGCGTTAATGAAAACTGTAATTAACGTGAGTAAACGCAATAATTTGAACAGCCCTAATTTAAATGTAAGAAATGCAATAACAACACATTTGTTTGTACGGAGCGAGTTGACAAATATTCTGTTTATCCGGGTTTCTAAGTAAAAGTATGAATGCACCAACTGTTCTGCTCCTGGGTTATGAGTTGGTGAGTGGGTTGCTTCAGTAATCAGGGATTAGGAGCTGCATGAGTCAGACAGGAAGATCCTGGCAACAAAAGGTTTAAAGAGGAAAAGTAGAGACTATTAAAGAAATGAATAGTATATTTTACATACAGTCCCTTTGAGAAAAAAAATTCAGAGTGGAAGACCCGAGAACCCAGCTCTGAGCGCTCCCAAACAGGAGCGCTCAGTTCTCCTGCTGTTGCCCACAGCAACAGTAATCTGTCAATCACACTCAGCTGCAGCCCCTCACACAAATCCTCACCTACAGCATCAGGCACTGCCGGCATCAGCTTCATATCTCACAGAATCTCCATCCAAGCAGTAGCTTCATTCATGCCGCAACCCTCCTCCTCCCCATCTCCGCCTGGTTCCAGGCCAGCTTCTTCATCCTTCTCTTAGCTCCCACCACCAGGGTCTAGGCCCTGGGGGATTTCATCTCATAATCTCTTTCCCCTTCTGCAGTCGTGCAGTGCTCTGCCGGGGTCTAAGCGCCAAATCCCAACCACATCCTGTTCAGAACAATAAATGTAATCTTGAAAATATTGTCTGTAGTGTTATATGTGTAATTCATGTAGTGTCAGATTACATGCCAACCAACATACAATTCTAATACCATGTTTTGCCTGTTCAAGTCTCTCCAGATTGAAATGTAGCGGATCTGATTTTCTCCACTCTGCATTGTGTTATTTTGTTTGTGGTGCAGAGGAACACACAGGAGACAACATTTCAAGGTGTTCTTTTATATGGTCACTAAATAAACATGCTAACATATACCGCTGCATCAGTCCCAGCCCAGACTGTTCCCCGACACAGGATTTCAAAGAATAGCTGGTCACAAAATGAACATGCTAATAACACATGCCTCTGCATCGGTCACAGCCCAAACTAAAAACACATACAAAGAGTAAATAACGACAAAATTATAAGTATAATAGACATTGAGACATAAAAATGAAGGGACTGACCTCTTCCCCGACAAGAGAAGAAGAGAAGAAGCCCAGGATCACAGGACTCAATGACTACAGACCTGTAGCACTTACGTCTGTCGTCATGAAGTCATTTGAACGCCTGGTTCTCTCCCATCTCAAGTCCCTCACCTCCCCCCTCCTGGACCCCCTGCAGTTCGCCTACAGAGCCAACAGATCTGTAGACGACGCCATTAACCTGGCCCTCCACCACATCCTACAGCACCTGGACTCCCCGGGGACCTACGCCAGGGTCCTGTTCGTGGACTTCAGCTCTGCCTTCAACACAATCCTGCCATCCCTGCTCCAGGACAAGCTCTCCCAGCTCAACGTGCCCGATTCCACCTGCAGGTGGATCACTGACTTCCTGACGGACAGGAAGCAGCGAGTGCGTCTGGGGAAGAATGTCTCGGACTCTCGGATTATAAATACAGGAGCCCCACAGGGCTGTGTTCTTTCTCCCCTGCTCTTCTCCCTGTACACCAACCACTGCACCTCCAGCCACGACTCCGTGAAGCTGATCAAGTTCGCGGACGACACCACCCTCATTGGACTCATCTCCAACAACGATGAGTCCGCCTACAGGAGGGAGGTGGACCGGCTGGTGTCCTGGTGCAGTGGTAACAACCTGGAGCTGAACGCCCAGAAGACAGTGGAGATGATTGTGGACTTCAGGAAGAGCACTGTCCCCCCGCCCCCACCCTCCGTGATGGACTCCCCCATCACCTCTGTGGAGTCCTTCCGTTTCCTGGGCACCACCATCACCCAGGACCTCAAGTGGGAGCCGACCATCAGCTCCCTCATCAAGAAGGCCCAGCAGAGGATGTACTTCCTGCGGCAGCTCAGGAAAGCCAAGCTGCCTGCACAGATGTTGGTGCAGTTCTACACGGCCATCATCGAGTCCATCCTCACCTCCTCCATCACCGTGTGGTTCGCTGGAGCCACAGTCAGGGACAAACAGAGACTACAGCGCATTGTGCGCTCTGCAGAGGAAGTGATCGGCCGCAGCCTTCCATCGCTGCAGGACCTGTACGTCGCCCGAGCTCGAGGCCGGGCTGGTCGTATCACAGCCGACCCCTCTCACCCTGCACATGGACTATTCCAACCACTCCCCTCAGGCAGGAGGCTGCGGTCCATCAGGACTAGAACCTCCCGCCACAAGAACAGTTTCTTCCCCTCTGCTGTTGGACTCTTGAACACTTCTTAACCTGTCCCCCCGCCCTTTATAAAGTCACTTTACTGCCCATCATACGTCACTTTACTTCACTGTACTGCTGTCACCTTACATTGTGTGCACCATGTGCACTTGTATATTGTAAATAGTAACTGTAACTCTATTTTAAATTTAAATTTATTCTTTAGAAGTGTTTTTTATTCTTATTTTTATTATCTCTTTTTGACTGTTGCACTGAGCCAAAGCAATGTCCAAGTCTGTGACCTCCCGTTACTTACGTTGGCAATAAAAATGATTCTGATTCTGATTCTGATTCTGATTCTGACGGAAGAGGCAGAGAGAAAACTCCAAATGTATAGTGGGAGAGAGGGGAGGCTGGAGGACCAAAGCTGCACAACAAATCAACGACCAGTACTAAAAAAAGTATTGTAAAATAATAAAACTAAATAATAAAAATACATAACACATAACATTTAATCAAAAAAATAAAAATACAATGTAAAATGGTGAGAGAGGTCTATAAAATGATTAACTTTGCTACATATGGATGTGAAAAGTAAGAAATAAATGTAATGTGCAAATACGTAATCATTTTTTATTATGTATTTTTTCAACATATTTTCTGAAACAAATTGCACAAGACAAAACTAAACTAAAATATAAAAAAGTGTTTTATAATAATAAAAAATGTGCGGCATAAAACTTATGAATAATGCATGTCATCCTTAGTTTGTTGTTAATTTTTGCTTGGCTGTTGTCTTAGTTTGTCAATAATCTGAAATCTATTGAAATAGTGACTTGGGAATCAGTCTGCCGCTTAGTAGTTGGCAGTTCTGTGAATATTTTCAAGATTACAGTGATATTGGTTGATTTAGAAAACAATATTCAAGATTCAAGATTAATTTATTATGTCCCGTAGGAAATTTGTCTTGAACTCACAGGCTGCTACATTGAAAATACATATAAGACAGACATAAAACACAACACAGTAACACCGACATAAACCATCACCGCTCTGCTCGATGGCCTGCATTCAGGATATAAATTTTCTTACCTCAATCATGATGTTTACAACCTTTTACAGGTGCAGTCAGTAGTTTTTACTCCATTGAGATCATTGCAGTTCACAGAGCCCCAGCCCCTCACTGATCCTCCTGCAGGTGCTGAATCCACAGGAGCCTTGATCTGTCAGCGGGGGCTTCAGGCAAAGTGGGGTTGTCCAAGGACACAACGACAGCAGTCATCAGTGGGAGTCGTGAAGTAGGTCTTGTGGTGGGCTCGAACCCACAACCTTCAGGCTCTGACTTCACAGGTTGTTCATTGAGGGGTGATTATTGTTCATATACAGTCTACAAAACAGACCTACTGCACATTTCTGTATCACTCAATATTACATAACAACAACATGGTCCAAAGCTGTGAACCATCCCTTCTGAATGTTAGGTCCCCTTTTAAATGAACAAATCAACAATTGTAACAGCATGTGAGTGTTCCAAACGTACTATAATCCTCGCTCGGCTCTGTCTCGCCTCTGCGGGGAAATGAGCAGCTTCATTGCAAACTCATTAGTGCGACGTGTTCGCCGAAGGACTGGGACGTGTTTGGTTGTGTGCGTGGTGATGGATGGAGCGTTCTCTGCGTCTCTCTTCACACAGCAGCCCATCTGGCCTTTCTCCTTCTCACATCACTTTAGACTGGGACAGCTCCCAGCATTAGGGATCTGAGTGTCGGAGGAGGCAACAAGTCAAGAGACAAAGTGAAAAGCGAAAATTGGACGCACATTTCTTCCTTAATTTGGTGGCTCCCCTCAAGGAAATTGGATTCGAGAAGGCTTTGAAGCAGCCATTTCATGCAAAGTCCACTTTTTGGGCTTTTACCCACGGGGCAATAGTGCTCCCTCATTAGAAACAGACATGGAGTTGTCTTCAGCCACATCAGCACAAACACACCTGCACCTTCTGTCTAAATACTCCGTTTTCTAACTTGTTGAGCTATGACAAATCTTATGACTGTGGCGTTAAAAGCAGTTTTCTGCCAGATTGGCCTATATGAGATTTGTGCAGTCTTCTTGGTTCTTTAAAGCTGGTGTACCTCACTTTCAACCCACACAAATTATCTAAAAGAAGCCCTCTAACCAGTAATTCCTCACCCTCCAAAAACTTCAATCACTCATTTTCACATGGATGTATTTTTGGTCTTTAGATCATTTTTTTTCAGGCTGAAAAGCATCAAATACTGGTGTCGCTAGATTTTTGCCTGGATCTAGGGCCGGCCCTAGGTCATCAGGCTCCCCAGGCGAAAATATATATTATAGGGCCCCTTCCACGCTCAGTCCTGGTTTTCCTGTTTTCCCTGGTTCAGTCCTGGCTCAGTCCTGGTTGTCATGGTTCAGTCCAGGACAACCTGGACTGAACCAGTTATAAAGAAAGCAGCTCACTGCTGCCTTATTTATAACTGCAGGTATAAACAAGCAGGTCTCCAAAATTACAAGAAGGCAAAGTTCAAACTCAATACTATTCAACTTTAATAGAAGCCAATAAAAATAACAGTAGATTTTTGTTTAGCACCGTCGCTAAACTCACAAACTGCCATAGCGCAATCGAGCCTAAAATTCCAAGCTCACTGAGCAGTGTCGACTTTCTCCACTTCTTTAATAATAAAATTACATCCATCCGTGACAAACTGGAGGAGGTTACTCCTGCTGTTGGTAGTGGACAGGCTGAAGCGGCATACGTGACTTCCCACTTAGACTCTTCAGTGGGCCTTGATAAATTCATGGCTGTGAGCCAAGCAGAGGTGATCTCTGTGGTCACATCCTCAAAAGCCTCAACTTGCATGTTAGACGCAGTCCCGACATGGCTCTTCAAAGACATACTTCCTTTGATAATTGAGCCTATCGTAAATATAATAAACGCATCCATACAATGTGGCTATGTCCCACAAGCTTTTAAAACCGCGGTTATCAAACCCCTTCTGAAGAAAACAAACCTGGACCCAGAAATACTTACAAACTACAGACCGATCTCAAACCTCACTTTTATATCTAAAATCCTGGAAAAACTTATAGCTGAGCAGCTCCGCTGCCACCTGCAGGAAAATGATATGTTTGAAGTCTTTCAATCAGGATTCAGAGCTCATCATAGACTGAAACGGCACTAGTCAAAGTCACAAATGACTTACTACTAGCTGCTGATAATGGACAAGTGTCAGTGCTGGTCCTACTGGACCTTAGTGCTGCATTTGACACAATAGGCCACAGCATTCTACTGCAGAGGCTAGAATGTGATATAGGTCTTAGAGGAACAGCCCTTGGCTGGTTTAAATCCTATTTATTGGATCGGTATTACTTCGTCAACGTAAATCAGAACTCGTCGCCTTATTCTGGAGTAGAATTCGGTGTGCCGCAGGGTTCGATACTCGGACCGATTCTTTTTACTCTCTACATGCTGCCACTGGGAAACATTATTAAAAAGCATGGAATTAATTTCCACTGCTATGCAGATGACACACAGCTTTATCTGTCGATGAAGCCAAATCAGACAGATCAGCTAGAAAAGCTTAGTGCTGCATAAAGGACCTTAAAACGTGGATGGCTCTTAACTTCCTACTGCTTAACCCGGAGAAGACAGAAGTGATCCTACTCGGTCCGAAGCGCCTGCGTGACTCCCTTACTTCAACGCTGCGCCGGTGGCCGCTGTACAACAGCGGCCACCGGCGCACGGTTGGGCGGCACGGTGGCTGAGTGGATAGCACTCTCGCCTCTCAGCAAGAAGGTCCTTGGTTCGAATCCCGGCCGGACAAAGGCCTTTCTGAGTGGAGTTTGCATGTTCTCCCCGTGTCTGCGTAGGTTTCCTCCGGGTACTCCGGTTTCCCCTACCACTAAAAATATGTCCAATAGGTCTGGCATGCGCCTCCTGTACTGGCCCCGCTCCCATCTCTGTGTGGAGTGAGAGACAAGTGCCCAAAAATAACAATTGTAAACCGCTTTGTGACTCTGGTCTGTGAAAGGCGGTATATAAATAAAGCTTACTTACTACTACTACTTACAACGCCGTGTTGGTGGCCCCACGCTTCGACAGCAGGATTCGCTCCACACAGCCCGTCGGTCTGTGTGGAGCGAATCCTTCTCTCAAAATGTGGGTCCCCCCGAGGTTTCTCATTTTTTCCCACTGGATTTTAGAATTAATTGCTTACTTGATCAGCAGCCTCACGTCATTCCTGTGGCCTTCGCTGCCGCCATACATGAAATATCTTCAGGTAATCATTCCTTTTCATTCACGGCCTTATTCCCTGGCAAGCACTTTCCAAGGTACCGGCACCTTCCTTTTGGGGGATTTCATCTCATAATCTCTTTCCCCTTCTGCAGTCGTGCAGTGCTCTGCCGGGGTCTAAGCGCCAAATCCCAATCACATTCTGTTCAGCACAATAAATATAATCTTAAAAATATTGGGCCTCATTCACGAATAACTTCGTAAGAAACTTCTCAAATTTCTTCTCAAGTTGTCCTTCAGTAGATTTCTAAGAAGAGCCTACGTGGGATTCATCAACGCACTCGTAAGCCGCTGAATTGTTCGCAGCTGTTCTCTTAGATTGATGAATCCCCTTTCCTCGTAAGTAGAGCGCGCGTGCCAGGTGCTTCATTAGCATAGGTACTTAGCATAAGTAACCGCCCATTAATGCCCATATAAGGGACTGCAGGGCCGTGTGCAGACGCCAGAGGAAATGGCAACAGGCCTAAAGCAAAGAGTTACACGGAGCAAAAGAGTCACCCTTTTTTCTTCTTTTGCCAGACTGAGAATAAAGTTATAAAATGTTGACTTAAAAGTCGAAATATTATGATAAGGCTGCAGCCTTCCATCGCTGCAGGACCTGTACGTCGCCCGAGCTCGAGGCCGGGCTGGTCGTATCACAGCCGACCCCTCTCACCCTGCACATGGACTATTCCAACCACTCCCCTCTCACCTGCACATGGACTATTCCAACCACTCCCCTCTCACCTGCACATGGACTATTCCAACCACTCCCCTCTCACCTGCACATGGACTATTCCAACCACTCTCCTCTCACCTGCACATGGACTATTCCAACCACTCCCCTCTCACCTGCACATGGACTATTCCAACCACTCCCCTCTCACCTGCACATGGACTATTCCAACCTATTCCAACCACTCCCCTCAGGCAGGAGGCTGCGGTCCATCAGGACTAGAACCTCCCGCCACAAGAACAGTTTCTTCCCCTCTGCTGTTGGACTCTTGAACACTTCTTAACCTGTCCCCCCGCCCTTTATAAAGTCACTTTACTGCCCATCATACGTCACTTTACTTCACTGTACTGCTGTCACCTTACATTGTGTGCACCATGTGCACTTGTACATTGTAAATAGTAACTGTATCTCTATTTTAAATTTAAATTTATTCTTTAGAAGTGTTTTTTATTCTTATTTTTATTATCTCTTTTTGACTGTTGCACTGAGCCAAAGCAATTTCCTAGTCTGTGACCTCCTGTTACTTACGTGGCAATAAAAATGATTCTGATTCTGATCTGATAATAAAGTCGAACTAGCAAAATTATGAGATTAATCTAAGAATATGATGAGATTAATCTCAAAATGTTATGAGCTTAATTTAAAAATATATTATGTATTATTTTAAAGATGAATCTCAAAATGTTATGAGCTTAATTTAAAAATATATTATGTATTATTTTAAAGATGAATCTCAAAATGTTTTGGACCCTGGGAGGAGATCCAGCGCGGACCAGCGCTGAGACCAATGCAGACCCGAGGAGAGACTGGAGTGACCAGCACACAGAAACCAGCGCGGACAGGAGAGACCGCATAGACTGGAGTGACCTGACTGGAGAGACCGGTGCGCAGAGACCAGCGCGGACAGGAGAGACCGGTGCGCAGAGACCAGCGCGGACCGAAGAGAGACCGCATAGACCAGACTTGAGAGACCAGCGCGGACCCGTATGGATCCAGGAGCATGCAGCACGGACCCGTATGGAGAGACCAGTGCAGACCCGTCTAGAGCCATGGGAGAGACCAGTGCAGACCCGTATAGATCCATGGGAGAGACCAGTGCAAACCCGTATAGATCCATGGGAGACACCAGCGCAGACCAGTATAGATCCATGGGAGAGACCAGTGCAGACCCGTATAGATCCATGGGAGAGACCAGTGCAGACCCGTATGGAGAGACCAGTGCAGACCGGTCTAGATCCATGGGAGAGACCAGTGCAGACCCGTATAGATCCATAGGAGAGACCAGCGCAGAGACTCAGCGCGGACCCCGCAGCCTCCTGCAGCAGCAGTATATATGCCGTTGTTCTGTGGCCCGTGGATAAAGAAATGCCCCCTATAATATTGTGCTTCAAGATGGCGCCTCGTACGGTCGACATGGCTCTTTGCTGCTCTCTTTTTCTTTTGTTTTTACTTTTTAACTGTGCATCTGGCTGTTCCTACACCCGTGAGGAACTTATGAACATCCGACCCACCGTTCCCATGGACCTATTGCCTGTTTTCTTGGCATCTGCGGCTGATTTAGTTCATGTTCTAGCCAAAAAAGTGTGGGCCCGTAAAAGGGGAAAGCGAGGAGGCCTGCTCGTGCGTCTTAGGAGGAGAGGAGCGCGCACGGCTCTCCCCGGCATTTTTCTCTCCAACGTACGCTCACTGGGCAATAAGATGGACGAACTCAGCCTGCTCATGAGAAGAAACAAGGACTTCGCCCACATCCTGTGTCCTCTGCTTCACTGAGACCTGGCTAAATGAGCGGATCCCGGACTGCGCTCTGGAGCTGCAGGGCTTTGGGCTGTTTCGCGCGGATCGCCATTGTGTGCTCTCAGGGAAGAGCAGAGGCGGAGGGCTCTGTTTCTACGTCAATACAAACTGGTGTAACGATGTGACAGTGATCTCCAAGCACTGCTCTCCTGCTCTGGAATATCTTTTCATTCATTGTAAACCATATTACTCCCCGCGGGAAATTGTTTCATTCATTCTTGCCTCTGTTTACATACCGCCATGCGCGGACGCGCGCGAGGCTCAGCGCGCACTCGCAGAGCAAGTACTGTGTATGGAACGCTTATACCCGGACTCTCTGATTATTATCCTGGGGGATTTTAATAAGGGAAACTTGAGCCAGGAATTACCCAAATACAGACAGTTTATCAAATGCCCGACCAGAGAGGAGAACACTCTGGATCACTGTTACACCACCGTGCGCGGAGCTTTTCGCGCTGTTCCCAAGCCAGCCCTCGGCTTCTCAGATCACTCCATGATACATCTGGTTCCTGCTTACAGACAGAGACTAAAGCTCTCGAAACCTGCAGTGAGGAGCTCCAAAGTGTGGTCTGATGAAGCTGTGGAAGAGCTGCGCGCATGCATGGAATCTACAGACTGGGACCTTTTCAGAGCTGCCACAGACAGCTTGGATGAATATACGGACACTGTGACGTCATACATCCACTTCTGTGAGGATAGCATCATTCCAACAAGGACCAGGGTCATCTATAACAACGACAAACCCTGGTTCACTGCTAAACTCCGGCAGCTCAGGAAAGCAAAGGAGTCTGCTTTCAGGGAGGGGGACCGCAGCGGCTACAAAGCAGCTAAATATCAGTTCAGGAAAGAACTGAAAGCAGCCAAGTCCCGGCACAGAGAACGACTACAGGAGCAGTTTGGTAACAACGATACTGCTTCTGTCTGGAGGGGCCTACGGGAGATCACCAACTACAAACCCAAAGCCCCCCCCTGTGCTGATGACCACAAGCTAGCTGACGATCTGAACTTATTTTTCAGTCGCTTTGATGCTGCCCCTGACACCTCTCCCTCCCCCACCCCCCACTACTCTAACGACCCACCCATCAGCCCTGCCCCCAGCCTAACAATAGCCGCTAAAGAGATTAAACAACTCTTCCTGAGGCTGCACCCCCGCAAAGCTCCTGGCCCGGACCACGTGTCTCCGGCCACTCTGAGACACTGTGCCAGTGAGCTTACTCCTGTGTTCACGGACATTTTCAACTCCTCTCTGCAGTCCTGCCATGTCCCGGCCTGCTTCAAATCCTCCATCATTGTCCCCGTCCCGAAGAAGCCCAGGATCACAGGACTCAATGACTACAGACCTGTAGCACTTACGTCTGTCGTCATGAAGTCATTTGAACGCCTGGTTCTCTCCCATCTCAAGTCCCTCACCTCCCCCCTCCTGGACCCCCTGCAGTTCGCCTACAGAGCCAACAGATCTGTAGACGACGCCATTAACCTGGCCCTCCACCACATCCTACAGCACCTGGACTCCCCGGGGACCTACGCCAGGGTCCTGTTCGTGGACTTCAGCTCTGCCTTCAACACAATCCTGCCATCCCTGCTCCAGGACAAGCTCTCCCAGCTCAACGTGCCCGATTCCACCTGCAGGTGGATCACTGACTTCCTGACGGACAGGAAGCAGCGAGTGCGTCTGGGGAAGAATGTCTCGGACTCTCGGATTATAAATACAGGAGCCCCACAGGGCTGTGTTCTTTCTCCCCTGCTCTTCTCCCTGTACACCAACCACTGCACCTCCAGCCACGACTCCGTGAAGCTGATCAAGTTCGCGGACGACACCACCCTCATTGGACTCATCTCCAACAACGATGAGTCCGCCTACAGGAGGGAGGTGGACCGGCTGGTGTCCTGGTGCAGTGGTAACAACCTGGAGCTGAACGCCCAGAAGACAGTGGAGATGATTGTGGACTTCAGGAAGAGCACTGTCCCCCCGCCCCCACCCTCCGTGATGGACTCCCCCATCACCTCTGTGGAGTCCTTCCGTTTCCTGGGCACCACCATCACCCAGGACCTCAAGTGGGAGCCGACCATCAGCTCCCTCATCAAGAAGGCCCAGCAGAGGATGTACTTCCTGCGGCAGCTCAGGAAAGCCAAGCTGCCTGCACAGATGTTGGTGCAGTTCTACACGGCCATCATCGAGTCCATCCTCACCTCCTCCATCACCGTGTGGTTCGCTGGAGCCACAGTCAGGGACAAACAGAGACTACAGCGCATTGTGCGCTCTGCAGAGGAAGTGATCGGCCGCAGCCTTCCATCGCTGCAGGACCTGTACGTCGCCCGAGCTCGAGGCCGGGCTGGTCGTATCACAGCCGACCCCTCTCACCCTGCACATGGACTATTCCAACCACTCCCCTCAGGCAGGAGGCTGCGGTCCATCAGGACTAGAACCTCCCGCCACAAGAACAGTTTCTTCCCCTCTGCTGTTGGACTCTTGAACACTTCTTAACCTGTCCCCCCGCCCTTTATAAAGTCACTTTACTGCCCATCATACGTCACTTTACTTCACTGTACTGCTGTCACCTTACATTGTGTGCACCATGTGCACTTGTACATTGTAAATAGAAACTGTAACTCTATTTTAAATTTAAATTTATTCTTTAGAAGTGTTTTTTATTCTTATTTTTATTATCTCTTTTTGACTGTTGCACTGAGCCAAAGCAATTTCCAAGTCTGTGACCTCCCGTTACTTACGTTGGCAATAAAAATGATTCTGATTCTGATTCTGATTCTGATTCTGAAATAGGAAGGGGTCACTAATACACGGCAAGATTTCCAATGTATTTGATAAAGCGTTGGCACATTTCATTTCAAAATGAATTAAAAAGTAGGCCAGATCTGCAGTGAAAAAGGCGGTATATAAATAAAGATTACTAATAAAGATTACTACAAATAAATAAATACATACATCAATATGACGGACATATCACTGGAATGTTGTATTTTTATTAAACTTCACCAAAGAGGACAACCCCGGCGTGTGAACATGTCGGCACTGAATGCGTACGAGTGCTCCTGAGGACTCGTAGGATTTGTACTTGCCCAAGAGAAATTCTGGTTACGAGAAATATTCGTGAATGCCACTTTCTTCGTAAAAACCTCGTAAGTAGGATTTACGTACAAATCTGTTCCTAAGAACCGTTCGTGAATGAGGCCCATTGTCTTTAGTGTCAGATTACCTGCCAACCAACATACAATTCTAATACCATGTTTTGCCTGTTCGAGTCTCTCCAGATTGAAATGCACTGGGACTGAAACCCTACACTGCTATTGCCAGTTTTTTTTTAATTGCCACGTTTTATTGTACATAATATATCCTACACAGACCATATTTTTAACCTTTAACGTGTTTGTACACTTCTGTCTTATCTTATTGGGACAAACAAGATTAAGTGAGATAATTGTACCATCATGGACCAGTTAGAGCCTGAAGATTGAGATTTCAGCTCATCTGTCTTTTTTTGCAATCGAAATGCCTAATAAACTATCTCTACTCATCCACTTATTGGTTATTGTCAGTACAGTTTAAATTTCTACTGTCAAAGAAACTGCGTGCCTTAAAAAAATGCCTTTTCTTTGCTTTGGATTCATACCTGTTGCTGATGAGACCAGCGATCAAGAGGGACTGGAGCGTCCACGCAGTATTGAATTAACCTGCATCAGTATTCTCAGCACGTCATTGAGACTATCCATTTATTACAGAGCCAAGTGATTGATAATGTAAATTAGTTTTGGATTGTTCATCTATTCACAATTATCTTATGAGGCTGAAGACTCGCACTGATTATAATATTAAAATGTGTGTGATTAATGAACAAGTATCCAGTAGAAGTAGTGTTCCAGCTTTGAAAGAGTTATCAGAAGCATACAGTGCAGAGGTTTTGGTTGTCAAAAAGCACCACCTGTGTGAAAGGCCAATTGATATTTCATAAGATGTACTAGCGTGGTCGCAGCTCAGGCTGGAAGAAAAAAAAAAATCACATTTTGCTAGAAATTATCACATTATCACAAAATACATTTTGTGGGATTTGTTTTCTTGTTTTTCATACTGTGAGATAAAGTTATACAAACGCAGAGGAAAGATAATGGCGGCTGGAGGAATGGGTGATTCCTCTCTCTCTTTACAAAGAGACAAAAAGAGCAGAGACAAGAGTGAAAAAACTAAAACCATTAACCCAGAGGAGGCAGGACACAGTGCCCCTGGAGCAGCCTACACAGCCAGGGCAAAACTCAGGCCAAAAGCCGATGGGAAGAATAGTCTATCAACAAGCAAACCTGTGGACCTCGGCTGATACAAAACACGGTAACACATAATTCTGTGTTTTGACTATTGTATGCAAAACACACCCATTCTTGAACAAATTCTTTCAAATGTATTGCCAATAACAAAATATGATGATGATTTTACATTGAGGAATACACCTTCTTGAGAAATGTTCCTTCTGGTCTTTATTATTGTTTTCTCCATCCATTTTCTTCCCCTTAATCCTTTTCTGGGTCAGGGGGGGTGGCAGTCAAAGTCCACAGAGCACCAGCCCCTCACTGATCCTCCTGCAGGTGGTGAGTCCACAGGAGCTGAGATCTTTCAGCGGGGGCTTCAGGCAAAGTGGGGTTAAGTGTCTTGCCCAAGGACACAACAGCAGCAGACATTAGTGGGAGTCGTGAAGTAGGTCTTACGGTGGACTCGAACCCACAACCTTCAGGCTCAAAGGCCAATGCTCTACCAACTGAGCTACTGTCACCCATTATAATTGTTTACTTTTGAGTCCTAAGCATGGATCTATTATAATAACTGGATAGGGTTTTACAGCTTGTAGCTGAATAACTCACGTGCTCGGGGGATTCTCGCGGTACTGCAGACTGAACCAGACTGAACCGGACTAAATTCACGTGGGCTACCCAGAAATTTTCCCCATAGGACTCAATGCATATTAAAACAGCTCAACCTCAGCTGACAGAGAACCTGACAGAGAACCTACAGCTTTCATAAAGGTCGGATTTAATACAGGCCAGTTTCCCATAGATCTTTTAGAGTTCCAGACGACTTCCGCTAATATGCCATACCCCGTGTCGGCACAATGCGCCACTGAGCACAAACCATTCATTTGAATAGGGCGCCATCTTGGATTTTTTCTTAGAACTTTGGTTAGCTTTTAGGAATTTGGGTGGATGGATGTGTTTTTTGCAGCTACTGAGCACATGGATGTATTTATTTTTTATTTTTTACAACTTTTCTTATAGAACTATTTGTCATTCAACGTTGTTTTACCAAATATCAGTTTTGTTTATCTTAAAGCCACCCTGTGTAATTTTTACAGCTGCTCCGTGTGAAAAAACATGTTAACTAATAAGCTTTTTAAGAATATTTACCTCCAGAGACTCATTCAGAGCGCCCAGCTGGGCGCTCTGAATGAGTCTCTCTCCGCGGGCCAGGCACTCAGCGGAGAGGATTGGACTGGGGGGGACTGGTCGACGGACTTGAACAGCGCGACCAGACCAGATCAGAGAGCAGTCCCAGAAGCACTCTGCTCTTTTCGCGGATCGCTACTCTCCAGGCCCGCTCTCTTTCAGCGAGACCCCGAGGTCCGGAGTGGATCTGCAGAGGTGCTCGGGAGCTCGGATTGCCTACGTCTTCCCCGTACAGTAGGGGCGGACGGGAGGGCAGAAGCTTTCTTAACTCATTGACTGCCAGCCTATTTCAGAACAGGTACTCCCATATTGCCAGCCGTTTCTGATGATTTTTATAGATTTTAAGACCCACAGATTATTGTGTACTATGACTATCTGAAATCCAAAACCAGATTCTGAAAGAATGGACTGTCTTCTTTCATCAGCAAAAAAAAATGTTTCTCGCTTGTTTCGTTCCCCTGTATTCCCCAGTCGAGTAGAGGGAAGTTTTACTGAAATCACCAGAAAGCTGAGAAAAAAGAGGCACAACATGTGCATCTGGCTGTTTTCAAACCATTCAGAGAGAGATGCTGCCACCTGCTGGCTAGATAAAATATTGCCTCAAGCCAATCCCCATACATATTAGATACAATAGACATCTGGGAACGTGAAAATAGCGGGACACGCAATTGACGTGTTAACATGTCAATGGCAGACAACGTTACTACTGGTTTAACGTGTTAACACGTCAATGGCGGTCATTGAGTTAATAAAGAAAAACAACCCGTATTTTGTGTGTGAGACTGTCCGTTGCTTAATGACTCGTCCGCCAGTGCTTCCTCTCCGCTGAGTGGAGAGGAAGCACAAGCTATGGAGCAAGGAACAAGATTAACCAATGAGCTTACAGCAGAGGCATCCCGGCCCACCCCATGATGTGCATATCATTAAGAGAAATACGGAAGTAAATACAGAAATAAATACAGAAAAATAAATACAGAATAAATGCAAAAATAAATAAATAAATAGATACAAAAATAAATACAGAAAGATAAATAAATGTATGAATAAATACAAAAATAAATAAATAAGTTCATTCATTTCTGTATTTATTTATTCTCATAATTGCATGCATTTCTTTGCAAATGTTATCTTTTTAAAATGTATTTATTAATTTCTGTATATATTTATTGTTTTGGCAGCCACGGTCCTGCATATAAATGCGCCATTTTGAAAAACAGTGGTGTTATATAAAAGAACCACCACTTTTCAATTTGGTTCCACTTCCAGTTTTATATAACTGGTCCTAACTATAGGACCAGTTATATAAAAGAACCATGGAGGACCACAGTTATATAAAAGAACCATGGAGGACCACAGTTATGTAAAAGACCATGGAGGACCAGTTATATAAAAGAACCATGGAGGACCACAGTTATGTAAAAGAACCATGGAGGACCACAGTTATATAAAAGAACCATGGAGGACCACAGTATAAAAGAACGACCCGAACAACAATTTCGCATTTCAAACCATCACTTATTATAATTATAATATAATTACGGCTGTCAAACGATTAATTTTTTTTGTTGATTAATCGCATAGTACTGGTGAGTTAACTCACGATTAATCACATTTTAAACATTCTATTTCAAATCCACTCCAATTGAAGTTAAATGAGATTTTCAAATGTAATGACACATTGTTATTCAGACCAAATGTACTTAAATCTGTTTGACTTGCTCCCAACCTTCTACTTTTGGGTACAACCAACAAGAGCTGTTAATGAAAGGGAAAATGTAGGTACCCCAGCTTTAATTTTTATTGAAATCACCAGAAAGCTGAGAAAAAAGAGGCACTTGTGCTTCTAGCTGTTTTCAAACCATTCATAGAGCAATGCTGCCATCTGCTGGCTCGATAAAATATTGCCTCAAGCCTTACATATTTGATACAATAGACATCTGGGAACGTGAAAACAGCGGGAAACGCAATTGACGTGTTAACACGTGTTAACACGTCAATGGCAGTTAATGCGTTATTTTTTTTTTTTTACGCGTTAATGAAAACGGTAATTAACGTGAATTAACGCGATAATTTTGACAGCCCTAAATATAATACATTTTAAAATGTTAAGGGCCTTTCAACACACCCAAGGACACTGTACAAACATAGTTAAAAAAGGGTTACATTAAAAACCTTGGCAGTATAAAATAAAACAGAAAACAACAGAAAGAATGTCTGGAGGAGGAGAGTTTTGAGTCTGGATTTGAACAGGGGAAGAGTCTGTGCTTTTGCGGAGGTCAGGGGGGAGTGAGTTCCAGAGCAGAGTGGCTGAATGTTTTACCCCCCATGGTGACGAGTCAGAAAGAGACGTATAGATTTAACAGTTTAGGGTCCAAAAAATAAAAATAAACAAGGTGGGACATTATTAGCCCTTAGTTTTATCTGTATCAAAGGCAATACAAAATGGGAGGACACAGTATTGACAATTCTAAAGAAGATTGAGTTATAATGTATATTGCAACGTTTAATTATTCTATTACTGTACATATTGTAAGTAGTTCTTACTTTTAAAGATGTCTTTTGTCAAAATAAGCAAACAAATTACCCGAGCACAAACTCACTCTGCTGCTGTAGAATGACTCGTGACTCTTTAAAGGACAACTCACCCTCAAATCCACTTTTTTTTGCTGATAAACGGTATAAATGAGTGTCCAATAGTGTTGTCTACATATCCTGGTCATAATCTTGTCACTTTGGTGCAAATTAGTTGAAAGTTAGACTTTCTGCCTAAAACCGTCTGTGAGGCGCCATCTGCTGGCGACCTGTATTACTACATTTGAATTTTGAATCTGGCGCCAACACTGGCACAGAAGTTGGACCTGACGTCTGCAAGTTGGACCTGACGTCAGCAGCCCCCCGCCCAGAGCAATGTAAACGGCCCAGTCTCGTTCACGCCCCCTTCAGTCCTCCAGGCCACGCCCATTTAGAGGAAGATTTGAACAGGAAATGTGAGTAACGTAAGCTCCGAGGAGCGGGGGTGAGAACCACTTTAAGCAGAGCTGATGAGGAACAGGTGAGTCGCACACCTGCTGCAGAGCCAGCCACGCCCCCAGCCACGCCCCCAGCCATACACATGAAACAAACTGAAAGAGAGGCGGGGGCAGAGCAAACCCAAAAATATCTAAGTTGATGGTTTGTATTTTGAAGATGTGGAAACTAAAAATACATAAATAACAATGTAAATATGGACATAGCCAGCCATCTTTAGGAACAATTGTAATTGTAAATGCAGTAAAAAGAGACAGTGTGTTTGTTTTAGTAATGATATTACATCATGATTATTGTGTTTACTTTTGAGTATTCATGTTTTTTTTTTTATTGGTTTCAGCTCAAACAGCATCCACAGACTAAGAAACAAACAACAGAAATAAGATTGACATCTGCTGATCCCGGACATTGGCCTGATGTTCTTAGTGATGGTGAAAAGTGTTCCCTGGTAAGAATAAAAATTAACAAAATACATAAAAAAAGTCCTCTTCAGGTGACAGATATTGTTTTTCCTCAAAGCAATGAACAAAACCCTCGGAGATTCACAAAGGAAAATTACTACATGGTCATGAGAAATGGTGAAAAAATAAAGCAAACATGGCTAGTATATTCAAAATGTACCAATTCGATGTTTTGCTTTGCTTGCAAAATATTTGGCACAAAAGGACAAATGCTTTCACTAAAGGGGGTTTAAAAACTGGAAAAACCTTGCTTCACATTTAAAAAAGCATGAATATTCCAAAACGAGCGTGAAAAGTTGGCATGAGCTCCAGATAAGGTTCAAAACCAAATCTGCTCTAGATCAAATAAACCAGCATGTGTTACACCTTGAGGAGCAGCTCTGGAAAGCAGTAATCAACAGGATTATTGATATATGCCACCTGGCTGAAAGAAATCTGCCACTCAGAGAATACACAGGCCTTGTATGACCCACATCATGGACACAAATAGAGTGCTCTATCTTAGCCCAATAATACAAAATTGAAGAAGAAATCGTCAAAAGGGTACAAAATGTTAAGTATTTTGCTGTCATCATAGACTGCACACCTGACACGAGCCACACGGAGCAACTCAGCATTGTATTAAGAATAGTGAACCTATAGAAGGTGTGTCAGTCACAGAACATTTCATAGGTTTTGAAGATGTTCAAGAAGGGGTCTATGTGAGACCCTGCTAAAAACGCTGTCTGACCTAAACTTGGACTTTTCCAACTGCCGTGGTCAGTCCTATGACAATGGCAGTAACATGATGAGCACTAAGCAAGGTGTGCCGGCCAGAATCCTGCAGCTCAACGAAAAGGCCCTGTTCCATGTGGCAGTCACACACTGAATTTGGTTGTAGCGGATGCAGCCAAATCTTCAGTTATATCTATTTCTTTTTTTGGTGTGCTGCAGAGACTATACAACCTTTTCAGCTCCTCAGTCCAACACTGGGCTGTTTTACAACAAGTGAAAAACCTTACAGTGAAATCTTTGTGTGTGACCAGGTGGGAGGCTTGGATTGACAAGGTAGTCAGATACAATCTACCAGAGATTATTGAGGCACTGTCTGCTCTTGAATATGCGTCAATACAAAAGAAGGACTCTGAAACTTTGTCAACCGCATCCAGCATTGGGAAAGAACTCATGACGTGGCGTTTCCTGCTATGCACAAATGTGTGGTACAACATACTCTATCAGGTGAACTGAGTCAGCAAGCTTTTGCAGAGCCCCACTAGTTCTCTTGAACTTCTGCAAAGAGAGACATTGGCAGTCCGAAATTATATGGAAGAGTTCAGGCAAAATGGGCTAGCTGGTGCCAAAACGGATGCAAGAGAGATTGCTGAAACTTTACATGTTGTGATGACCTTCCCAGCCAAAAGACGCAAAACGACCAGACAGTTCATGTACGAAGGCCGAGAGGAAACTCTGTCTACTCCAGAAGAAGACTTCAACAGTTTTTCCTCCCCCTTGTGGACACAACCCTGGCTAGCCTAAGTGAGAGGTTTTCCAGGCTTGAAGATGTTTACAATATGTATGGTTTTCATTTTTCAAAGGAAGAAATGGATGCAACAATTCAAAATGACGACATTGACTCTGAGGAATTAGTGTTGGAGGTCAGGCCTGCGTACCATTCACTTCCTGATCATGTATCCTCCCCAAAAGACATGCTGAACTACATTTACAAGGAGCAGCTTCTAGATCTGTATGGAAATCTCAGCACTGCCTTTCA